TGCCATTTTTGTAGGGGTTGGTGAAAAATAAGTTGTATGTATGTAGTTTTGGAAATGTTCAGATCTTGACTTCGAAGCAGTGGCCTGGGTAAAATGTTATGTAGCATTTGAAATCAATGCTTTTTAGAATCATTAGTGTTTTGATGCAGCTGGTTTGAGCAAAAAACCCTCTTGGAGCTGGAAAGCTTTAGTACATCTTCAGGGACTCTAAAATGAGTTGGGGTTTTTTTGTGTTTTTTTTATTTCCTTTTTTGTGTGTGTGTGCTCTTCAGAGTTGGATGGTAAAGTTATATTTGGATACATGCATGCACACAGATTCTACAAACTTCCGGTTTTACATTTTTAGTGCTGGTTGTGCTGCTTTTGTAGATAACATGTTGGGTTTTCAAAGTATTCCTAGTTGTAGGAATTAAATAAAGCTTTCTAGGTGATGTGGTGTTTTTAGAACAGTTAAAGTTTTACTTTCTAGGGACAGGTTTATATGAACAGTAAAATTAATTCTGGATCTCCTTTTATATATTCTTTACCACTGAGTTTTAATTCCTCTTGTGAACTGTTACCAAATCACACAGAAACCCTGCACTGCGGTTCTGTTCTCCCAGTTATTTTCAAACTTTTCCTCTTGTCTTATCCTTCATTTTTGAAACAGAACTTAATTTTTTTAAGCTCTCCCTTGTGCTGTGCATTACTACATTTCGGCAAGAGTATGCTTCATAGAGCTTTCCAGAACATTTGTAATCATCTCTTCCCCTCCCCGCTTCCCTTCCTCTCAGTTGTCATAGTTCCCTGCTTTTCTTATCTCTCCTTTTACTGCTGCAGCTTTCACATGATAATGCACCATTCAGGAACAGCTGCTGTGTAATAGTTCAATGGGACCCAGCACTGCTCAGAGCTGACCTAATGTGAGGTGAAATGAAGAAATTTGTGCTTGACATGTAGGCTTACCTATGTGGTCTTTTTCCAGCTTGGGTGGATTAGGTGCATAGTGGCTTCCCCTTGCCAGCTGCTCCAGGGGTAGAAATATACTGCAGGTGGTGGCACAGTGAAGTGAGGTATTGGAGGTTCTTAGTGTTTCTTCAGAAGCTCACCCATTTCTAACCATGAGTTGCTTTTTTCCCTATCACTTGTTTATTCATGCTCCCATGGCCAAAAATGTTTCAGCATGTGCACTAAGAACAGGTGCAGCGACACATTGTCCGTGGTCATGCCAAGCTTTGCCAAGCCACCCTGGTCATTTCCTTTCATTTCCTCTGGGTGAGTGAGCCAATGTTCTTGTAATCTTTGCCGTTTGGGGCCCGAGGCCACCAAACTGAGCTGGAAACTGTCCTGCTGGTTTAGTACACACAGCCTAGGGCTTACTGCTTTTTTTTGGGGGTGGCTGGCCAGGTTAGCAGCAGCAGCTCTGTCTGGGCTGCTCGTAAGTCAGCTCCTCAGCTGCCTGCAGTTTGTGGTGCAGTGCTGTAAAGAAAGCTGTCATCTATTTTTGTCAGACAAATGCTTAAAATTTTAATATCCACTGGGAATATATACTGGAACATTACCTGTGTGTATTCAAGGCACTAGTCTAGCAAGGAAATAGTTATTAAGCAAAGCCTTTCCATTTGACTCTTAAGCCCTATGCGAGCTTTTCTTACTATGACTGTTAGATACAGTCTTACTGATGCTCTGTGGTTTAAGGATACATGTAAGTTAAGATTGGTAGGAGACACTTGAAGAAAAAGTGTGTGTCTGGAAGCTTGCCTCAACCACCCCCAATTTTTATTTATTTATTTTTTCCTGTCTCCAGTTGTAGGCCTGGCCTTAGGTAAATTATCTGAATTTAAAAAAATACTCCCTTCATAACTGACTTCTGACTTAATGGGCTGAAAGCGGGGTATGAAATATACCTGCAGCCTTGAAACTGACTGATTTGGCTGCAGAATGCAGGCTTGCTGTGCATGCCTTAGTCTGCTCTACCCATGTATATTCTCAACCTTGTTTTCTAATTTTCTTTCACTAATTCCTTCATTAATGTTGTTCCAATTTCAGTAGGTACTGGTTGTTGCAGGGCTATAAGTGAAGAGCATCATTATGTTAGTTTTATTTCCTTATAGCTGTTAGATCATAAACACCATTTGAACAGAAGTCTAAACCCTCAGTGGGTAGAGATGATTTAAAATTACCTGAGTTTATTACCATGGCCATTTTGAATGTGATGGAGTTTAAATAGATGCATGCAGAGGTCTGTCTTGTTTTAAAATGAGAGGCTTTAATAGCTGAACAACCAATGTGTGCATGAAATGGCTCTCTAATGTATTTCATTTGGTGTTCAAGAGATGTCAGTGATGGAAAAGTCAATATGGCTCATGTGAAATTAATTTAAAAACAGGCTTATTAATAGGCTTTAATACAATTACAAATGTGGAATGGCCATCCAGTGTACACCTTGCTATGGGGGATTTGTTGCCATTGGTACTCAGCCATGTTATTTAACATTTCATTAATGACCTGGAAGAGGTCAGTAATTTGTTATCAGTAACATTTGCAGCCAACTGAAATCCTAGAGGCAAAAAAATGCAGGCATAGTTATGGAAAGTCAGGCTTGTACATTTGGAATTGGTGGGGGGTGTGGAAAGGGAAGCCAGAACCTGTGGGTCAGGATGGGCAATAAGCAGGCTCTGGCAATCAGAGTCCTGTGACTGAAAGGGCCAGCATGCGCTTTGGGTTTATGCATAATGTTGCAGATGACACAATGCCCCTTGTTATTAGGCAGTTTGGTCTGGTCTTCTTCTAGAATAAAACATCTGCCTGGAATATTGCCATGCTTTAACCCCAGCTGGCAGCTCAGCCCCACCTGGTCACTTCTCACTCCCCTGCAGTGGGATGGGGAGAGAGTCAGAAGAGTAAAAGTGCGAAAACTCATGGATTGACGTAGAGACAGTTTAATAGGTAAAACAAAATCTGTGCACATAAGCAAAGCAAAATAAGGAATTCCTTCACCACTTCCCATTGGCAGGCAGGTTCAGACATCTTCAGGACAGCAGGGCTCCATAACACATAACAATGACTTGGAAACACAGACACCATCACTCTGAATGTTCCCCCCCCTTTCTCATTCTGCCCCCAGCTGTATATGCTGAGCATGACACCACATGGTCTGGGGTATCCCTCTGGTCGGTTGGGGTCAGCTGTCCTGGCTGTGTCCCCTCCCAGCCTTTTATGCACCCCCAGCCTGCTCGCTGGTGGGGTGAGAGGCAGAAAAGGCCCTGACTGTGTGCAAGCACTGGTCAGCTGTAACTGAAACATCCCTGTGTTAGCAACATGGTTTTCAGCACAGATCCAAAACATAGCCCATACTAACATCTATAACGAAAATTAACTTTATCTCAGCCAAAACCAGTGCAGATACTTGATGTGTCAAATGTTGGGATCCAGGAGAGAACAGAACAATGTGAGAAGGATATTAAAAACCAGTAAAACAGGCAGGTATTGAGAGGCATACGTGGATGACCCTGTTAAGCTTAAAGTTCATTGATGGCCAGCTAACTATTTATAAATTGCAAAGTGTTTCCAGTGTAAGGCTGTCCAGTGTAGTCCCTGTCTGCATTTAGTAGGTGTGCTTCATGTTAAATGCTTATATAAGGCATATCTGCATGTGGTCAATTCTATGGAATTCATAAAAACAAAAGCGTGTTATTTAAATCATTTGTTGAAAAGATTTGAGTTGGCTGGGTCCTTATCTGATGTGATTTATGATGGTCTTCCACTTGCATCCTGACTGATGCTCTGGCTGAGTCTCTTGGTGGAAGATAAGGATTGGAGAACAAGAGGGTAAACATCACAGCTAGAGTCTCTGCAGAGTTAAAAATGTTTGCCTGGAAAGCAAGGGCATACTTGGAAGTATTTTTCCATAAAGCCTTGTTTTATATCTATAGATATCTGTCACATAATGCTTGAAAGACAAATCTGTATATTTCCAAGGTAATATCCTTCTAAGTGTTTGCACTTTTAGGCTTTAAGAGCTGTAAGCATGGGCAAGTTTGAATTCAAGTTGTGCTTCTAACATGATTTGAGAAGTGGGTTATGCCAGTATTGCAGAAGATAATGTAGCATTCAGACCTTGCTATCTGGTAATAGTTTGCAAGGTAAAAATATCTCTGCTTGATACTTGGATCTCAAAATTCAGCTTTGATTCTTGCAGTGGCAGAATTGGGGGTGTTGTATGAGGGGGATGTTTGTCACCCAGTGGCACTGAATAGGGAAGTTACTGAATGACTGTTTCTCACATCAAGATATGGTGTTCTAAAGAGTCAGTTCTTACAGCTGATCTGTCCATAAAAACAGAATGAAGATGATAGACTACATATCAGTTGGACTTGTCTTGAAAACCTGGAGCAGATTCTTTTCTCTGGCAATCCCATGGAAGCTCCTTTTAAAGCAGCTTGATGCTTTTATGCATGTCAGACTTTTCAAATACATTGTGAAATGAACAAACCTCCACTAAGAAGAAACGTGTGAGTGTTTGGTGGGATGTTTTTGTTGTGTGGGTTTGTGGGGTTGTTTTTTTGAAACAAGGTTTTTATAATCTAGTAGTTGAGCTCATAGCTAAGTTGAGGCTCAGTCGAATTAGCGTCAAGACTTTAGAACAGGTAAGATTTTTTTCCTCACTTTTTGTCTCTTAAACATTTGTTATGTTAGGAGAAAACCTCTCTGGAGGGTGTCCCCCTCCCCGTTATCAAATGCTACTAGTGAGCATACTGGCCGTGAGAGTGCTGAGGGTGGCTTCCTGTCAGAATTGCTTTACGTAAAATTGCAAGGAAGCAAATGTTTCTTGTATCCTTCCATTGTGTTGCTTCCTGTGAAGCAGCAGACTGGATGCGTGTCCTGGATACGGACTATTTTATGGCACTGTACGTGTTGGGATGCTCCAATCAAATCGTTGTCGGTATCCCTTATAGTCTCAGCATAGCAGGAAACGAGGCTTCCTCGCATCCTGTTGTTCTCCAGTTAGCCTGACTTTGGAGAGCTCCTGGCTTTGTCAGAATCCAGAATGAAGGTGAGCTTAAAATGGATTTAGGATTTTATTTTTTTTTAAGTTTAAGCTATAGTTTATAACCTTCTTTCTGAAACATTCTTTTTTTTTATTAGTTCTCTCTCTCCCCTGTAGTACCTTTCTGGTACGGTTCTGGTGTCCACGCAAGTGCCTCTCATGTATTGCATTTATTTAGGATCAGGGCTGTTGTTTCATGATTCTGTTCATACTTGTAGTTTGCTTGTTTAGAACCTGCCACAATAAGCATGTAGCTAACAATGAAAACGTTACACTCCTGATGCTTTCTTGTTCCATTACAGCTTAATTTTTTTTCCCAGTTTGAGCAGTAGTTAGGCTGATCTCCAGTCTGGTTTTGTGTTAAAGCCAGGTTTTGTGTGTTCTGCTGTCACTTCATTGGTATGCTTTTTCATCTCTATTATAAATTATGCTATTAATAAACTTTAACACAGTTTTTTTTTTTTTTTTTTTTTTTAAAGTCAGATTATTTCTTGTTTGCTTAATGTCTTTTTCTGCATGCATAACCTTTAAATACTTCCCTGTGTTTCAGGGCATTTCACATCTAGGCAATTCCCTAGTCCCTCTCCTCATTCCTTACAGCTTCAAATAAATAAGAGAAGTCTTTGAATTACCTGTATCCCAGAGAAACATGATGAAATAGTTATTTGCCTTACTTTACGTGTGTGATAACTGCTTGATGTATATTACTGTTTGCCTCTGCTTGATTCTGCATCTGTTTTGTGGCATTGCTCTTCTGAGTGTATACACACTACCTGAGCCTGAGAGATGTCAGCACTTGTATGTACAGCTGAGGTAGAACTGCTGTTCGCTGGGACCAGAGGCGATCCTCACTCTGAGGGGTAACAATGTGCATGTTAACACATGCAAGTACCTCAAATGCTGTGAATACCTGGGGAGATTTCTTTGTCTTACTGAACAACGCTGTCATTAAATGTTTCCTAAATGTGCTCTACCTTTGCCAGTATGTCACTTAACCAGCTGCAACTGGTCAGGCAGCCCCTTCTGTGGTTACTTTAGGTAGCTTTCATTAAAATTCTAACTTCCCTTGAGTTCATCTAGTGTTCCTTTGTCCCTTTCTCTATTGTCCCCTGAGAATGTTCTGTTTTTTCCTTTCCTGCCTCTGAAGCTGCTTTCTGTGGTACAGACTTCCTCATAGTGCCTGTGGGATGGGTCTGTTATCAAGAAACTAAACAAGTTTTTGTTGACTTTTTAGATAAAAACTGCTACCCTGCAGGAAACTAAAGCTCTTTCTGTTTCTTAAATCAGTTGGAACAACTGTAACAGCTATCTTTTATTGTCCTCTTTCCAGTCTTGCACAAGGGAATACTGAGACTCCTTTCAACCTATGCAGAGTCTGTTGTGAGAGCTGTTTTCATGAGACTTTGGATGAGTGTTTCCATTACCTCAGGCAAATATTATGGGTCTTTCTCTTTTTCTTCTTTTTAAAAATCTCTTCCCCCCTGAAAATCCAGATGTTTAATGTCATCACCCAGTGCTTGAAAGTTACTGGAGTGTTTTCTACAATATAGTTTAAGGTTTGGATCTCCTTCCCACAGTTAAAAATAAAATAACCCTCATGTTTCATCTCTTCCCTTCCCAAACCTCATTTGCCATCTGACCTATCCAGGAACTTCACTCTTTGTAGAATTCATTAATTTTTGGCAATGCAGCCTTCCTCTGTGTCTTGTAGAAGAAAGAAATAGTAGGTACATTGTGTAGTACTTTTTAAAGTATTTGTAGTAATTTTTGAAGTACTTTCTGCATGATCAGGTACAGTGCCTATGAGCTGCTACAGAAAAAGAAAAGTATGCCAACTGTAGTGGTGCCCAGTAATACTTTTGGCCAGAATGTCTGAGGAAAGCTTCTCTCTTCTGATACCTACATTTTTTTCAACTTTCCTGTAATTTGTATGATACTTGGTGCTTTTAGCTAATATGTTCTTCAGGTTTTCTCAAAGGCAGCTATATTCTCTATTTGAAAATGGGGAGGAGGGTGTTTGTTTTTTAAAGGATGGGGGAGACCCCACAGTTTTACTGGTCCATAAGAGCCACCAAAAAGCTGATACCTTGATGGGTAACTTCTGAAGTCATGGTTTGCATGACAGCACAGAAATGCTTAGTTTAAAGGCCTGTTTCTATGACTTACTGCATGTTCTTTTGCTTTCAGACTTTTGATGCAAATGACCTGTATCAGGGACAAAATTTCAGCAAAGTTCTCAGCTCTCTTGTGGCTTTAAATAAGGTGACTGCAGGTAAGTAGACTCAGCTCTGTATTGGTGCTCACTTAAAATTACCTTTAACTCACATCAGTGTGTATTTGTACCTGTTGCTACATGCATGATAAAAGGAACAAGTGCAGTGTTTCTTAGAAGAGATTTTGCTGCAGTTCATCTTGTTCAGACTTTGACAGTGGCCTCTCTGGTTCTCTGGTCTCCTCTTCTGCAGAAGGAAGCTTTGCAGTGGAGCTAAGGCTGAACCTTTTTAGCTGGCAAGAATTCTTAGAGAATTCTGGTTTTCTTGTTTGTTTTATGTTTTTCCCCAGTTTGAAATACTGAGGTTGACTTTTGCTCCGCTCTGTCTTCCCATGTTTGAACAATTTTGTCAAGGTTTTGGTATTCCCTCCACTCCTCATTCCCTGGCACAATCCTTTCTTGAAAATAACAAAAGGATAGCAAACACCTTTGATTTGTTAAGCCGTGCATGTTTTGTTTAGATAGCAGATAGAAGTCATGAACAACCCACCTCAAGTTCTTTGGTGTGAAGGAGGGAGCTGTAGAAATAACACGCAGGTGAGAGGTGTCCATGTTTCACTGTGGGGTGAGGCTGTGCTAAATCATACCATCTGGAGCCAAGGACAGTCAAGAAATGTTAACATTGGTGACTCTTTTTTGGATTCTTGCTGCTCCATGGTGGGGCTTCATGCTGTCAGCAGCAAGTTCCGATAGTGGTCATCAAGTTATAGAGTCTGGTGAGCGAGAGATTATTTAAAAATGGGCCACAGTTGTCAGTTTTTATGTGAAGAAGAAAAGGAAGATGATGAAAGTCAGTGGTGTGAATCAGTGTTTTGTTGTTTAGAAGTAATATGGTAAGTACCCTTGTCGCTTTTATAATGCTCCTCTGGTTCATTGCAACAAAGGTTTTTATTTTTGGTGACTTCCCTTTCCCCTCCCTGCATCAGAAAACACCCTCAGGAGTGAGTTTTACAATCAAATTCTTAGTTCTAATGAGTGGGCATGGAGCAATACCATTAACTTCTTTGAAGCTACTTAGAGCAGTTGAAGATGCTGCCTTTCATCTTAACTGCAAGTGCAAATGCAGACCATTTCAGCACATCTTTAAAGATGCTGTACACTGTCCATAGCTGTCTTTAAAGGGGAGAAAAAGTGCAGCTGTTTGGTCCAGACATCGATAGATTAATATCCACATCAAAAAGCTGCAATTGCATCTGGCTTAGAAATGACCCAGGCTGTTCCCTTTCATTGGCGGGTGGTGGTGGTATGGAAGCCAAAATCAAAACCACATGCAAACTATGGTGTTGCCTCATTCCTAGGAGCAAGCAGCACTACATAAATCTCTCTGACCAAGAACTGTTTGTTCTTCCAAACAGTTTTCTTTAATTGGGTGACTCTATAGAAGGCGTTTTAGACTCTTATCTCCCTTCTTTAGTATTGGAAGATTGCTTTCAGATCCCCATCTGGGTTCTCAAGAATTTCAAGTATACACAGGTTCTTCTGAGATAGGCCTTTCTGCAATGGAAGGAGTGTGAGTAATGAGCACGAAGACTGATGAAAGGCTGCTGTGGATATACACTCCAAATTCTTAACTTCAGAGGGGTGGGATCAAGTTTTCAGTTGCTATTTGTAGAAAGAGAGGAACTGGTATAGGGAAGTTGAAATAGTGATAGAGAAGAAGAAAGGGTGTTACAAACCCTGGAAATCTTTAGATGAATGGAACAGTGAAGCTTCTGAGAAAATTACCAAATGTTTGTCAAACATGCACATCTTGTTGCCATTCAAGATTCTTGAGTTCAAGTTTTTCTCACAATAATCCCATTGAGAAATTAATTGAACATGCTTTATTTAGTATGTTAATGGAAACTTTAATGGATACATGGGGTCTGCAAGCCTTTCAAATCTTTCAAAAAATCAAACTGATATGGAAGTGTTCAGATATTATTGGAAAAAATACTTGAAATTTGCATGTGGTTGGTTTGTGATCATTTTCCTTCTTTTCAGGTCAAACTCATACGTGCAATTTCTAATTTAGGCCTCAAAAGGTGCTCTTGCATTGGTGTTTTTTAGCTCTGCTGTTGTGAAGTAGAAAATTTGGGGAATCAGACTGCACTTAAATAAATTCTAGGTAGTGAGTGTGTTTTAGGGTCACCCAGGGGCTGGAATGCACTGCCATGGGTCAGCCTGATCCTGGTTGCCGGAGTGAACTGTGTCAAGGTGTAATGCTGTATTTGGTGGTGTCTGTTCTGCTTGGCTGCAGTCAGGAAACATGGCAAACTGGACATGGAAATTTCAATTAAAATTAATTAAAATTACTTTTGATCCTGAAGTTCTATTAATTGATGATGGTTATGGCAACTTGAAAGTTTTTGGTAGCATTAGTATTAGCCATGAAGTTATGATTTACAAATGAAGCCCATGATCTAGTCCCATTTCTCTCCCAGCTGTCTGTGAAAACACAGATGTATGTCCTTTCTGTAGTGGACTATAATCTCCAGGTTTTATATTAATACAGTGACCCTTACATGCCTTTGGGAAAGCAGGTTCACAAAGTGGGAGGTCTTTTATGACCAGTGTGTAATGATGCTGGGTTCTGGGGCATCTAGTCCAGGTCAGGCTTTGCCAAGAAAGGTTGGACCAGATGATCCTTGAGGTCCATTCTAACTTAGTATTCTATGATTCTATCCACACAAAATATGCAACTTGATAGTTTCAATATTGCACTATATGACTGGTGAGCATATATTTACAGTCTTTTTGGAGGATAACAAACACACATTTAAAAAGGTGCACTAGAGGCAGGTGTTTTCCGCTCAGTTACTGCAGACTTGGAGGATCCTTTGTCAATACTTCTGTGCTTGTAGTCAATCTCAAACCTTTTTCCTCCTCCTTCATCTTGGCTGCTGTTGAATGCCATGCTGAAGTCAAAAGATGAAGTTAAGATGAATTGAGTTGTCCCTTGACATGAACAGCTGATATGCTTTGTTCCCCAGTCTCCTTATGGAACCGAGTCTGTATGTGTCATTTCCCTTAGACCAAAAATAATGTGGATTTGCCTAATCATGGTCTGCTTTAGTCTGAAAGTAACTAACAGATGACTGTGTGTATGTACCTCTGATACAGATGTCAAGTGTTGGAAGCAAAGCAACTACTGGGAAAGAGAGTAACAGAGGCATAAAGCCCAGGAGAGCTTGTGTAATCTGGTGGAAACTTCTAGGTTTGGGATGGAAAATACTACACTGCTTTCAGGGCTCCTTGAAGCCCAAGTGCTCACTGAATGATTTCCTTGTATGTGCGAAAACTTGAGGAAAAGGAGTGGCTTGCTATACTCATGCAAAGGAGCAATGCTTGTCTGGTATGTCACCTGTACAAGGACCCTGGGAGCATCCCCCTCCTGGGGGTTTGACTGTGAGGACTGCGGGACCAGCTGGTCCCACCATAACACTGTGAAGAGGCTCCCAGCAGTGCTGTGGGAGGCCAGCACTGACCATAGGAGCCACTTTCAGTGCATCCCTGTCCCATGTCTGGCTGTGGCCTGCTAATGCCCACCCCATCCATGAGTGGAGCGACATCCTGTCCCTCATGTCCAGGGCTATGGCTGCACTGGTGCCCAGCTGCCCTGCTTCTGGCTGGTGCAGTGGAATGAGTCTTGTCTTGCCACAACCGTGATGCCTCCCAGCCCACAGGGACCCCTGTGGCACCCTGACAGCGTGTAGTACTGCCCTTCAGATGAAAACCTCAGATGGGTGTGCTTCTTGGAGCAGAGACAGATAAAAGAAGGGAGAGGTTTTGGGAGGGTGGTGTTTTTTTGAGCAAGCAGCTTGCTTTTTTTCTACTCCTCCTATCCCTCCCCCTTCCTCCAAAGAAGAAATAGCTTAGTTGGCAAAAAAGGGATGAGACAAAGGAGCGTAGGAAAAAAGACAGTGGAAGGAATGTTTTAATTGAGAAGGGGGGGGTGGGAGAGCTAAGAAACAGATGTGGCTGGCTTTACTTCAAGCAAGTTTTATGCATTCAAAATTCTTGGCCACTAGCTAAAATGATGCTGGTTAATTACCTTTAAATAGACTGGTAGTGAGTAGAAATGGAGAAATACAACTCTAACCCTCCTCTTCTAGACAGCTCAGATTGTTTCCCTGTCTGTGTGGGGAAGAAACCAGTGTCTTGGGATTTTGGATTATTGATTATTGTTTGTTTGGGTTTTTTTTGTTTGGTTGTTTTTTGGTTGTGGTTTTTTTTTTTTTTTTAAATCTTGTGTTACTGAGAAACTGCAGCTACATCGTATCTGCTTTAAGCATGTAAATTTTGGAGGTAAGCAGCAGTTACATGCACATTTCTCAGATTCTAATATCGACCTACTTTTTCTCCTGTTGCAGACATAGGACTGGGCAGTGACTCTGTATGTGCACGTCCCTCATCTCATCGGATAAAATCTTTCGATTCTCTGGGATCCCAGTCTTTACACAGTAGAACTTCAAAACTCTTTCAGGGACAGTATCGGAGTTTGGTAAGTTCTAGAAGAAGTGAAACATGCTGTGGTGTGGCTTTATTTATTTTTTTACATGATTTCTAAGTAAACTATAGTGTTGCAGAGTGACTGTTTCTTCTCATCTCTGTTTCAAGCCTGTGACATTCTATTCTTGCAGCTTTTCTTATGATGTTCCAAAATACATGCAGCTTTCTGTGAACGTCTAATTCTTCTTCTCACTTACCACTCCGTGTTCTCTGCATACACAGTATCTTCCTGGATTTATTTCTTTTCAGTATAAGAACTTGCTTTTCCAAAGGCAAAAATCTCATTTACTCCATGTCTCTGAGTTTAGGGAAGATGATTGAAGGATAGTCAAACCTCAGCAAAAATGCCAGTTTTAACGTCACAGTATTGGTAGTTATTCCTGTTTTCTATTTCAAGGTGATTCCTTCAACTAGCCTTCAGGTACTGAGTGGTATAGACAGCTGTTCTACAGTAGAGCCGAAATCAGGATGGAGTACTGTATTGAAACTGTAGGGTTCTTTTACTGACTAAAAGGTTTGCAAGGAGGGTTCAGATCCCTACTGTAAACTGCTTTTTTCCATGCTTGAAGGAGGCCGTTTTGAACTACGTGATGATTGCTGTGTGAAACTTGAAACACAGTGCTCTGCTTAAGCTGTTAGGTGTGGTTTGATGTCTTTTGTCTGTTAGTAGAGCCCATGCAAATTCTTGCCGTAGGCCACTAATTCCAGCTCCCATTCTACTTTTCACAACCCACTCAGTTTTACTGATGCAACTGTTTGTGGGACTAACTGTTAGCTGGATCACTGAAGTGACCAGAGTTCTTAAGTATTTGTATCACTTTGTTGATCTGAGCAGCTCTTTAGAATGTTGCATAGGGGCAGAGAAGTGCAGGATGAAGGGCAAGAGAGCTAGTGGACAAACCTCAAAAATTCTTAGTTTGCTTTCATTCAGTAGATGATCAGTTTGGAACAGTTCTCACCAAATGTGCTGAGCTTTTGGCATGTTTTCAAAGTTGTGTTTGCGCTCATTCTCCTAAAGTTTCTCAGCCACTGAAAATCTGACTGTTAAATTGAGTTGTGATACAATGATATGCTGTGGGTATGAATTAAGCTGACATGTTATAAGATCCCAGTGATGATATGCAGTACATCTTTTAATCATCTCAACTCTCTGAACAAGGTGTGGGTAAAATTCTGGTACTTGGATAGTAGCAGATTGTTTACACAGTCATCTTCTCACTTAGTTTTTTAGTTATACAAGTATTGATCCTTACCTATGATAGAGACAGAAATGATTTATATTGCTGTTATCTCAGTTCCAGAGCAGTGGATTGTATTTGGATTATCTGAAGATGTCCAACTACTGAGCTTTTTCAGCTTAAAAGTTTGCTCTAACTCTCATGAAATGTTCAGATGATGCAGATACTCAAAATTGACATCCAAGAACAAAATGCTGAATTTAAACATCATTAATTTGAAGGACTTCTTAGAAATAGCTATTCTAATATCTGGTTGTTGTGACAGAGCGATAATCTGCCTTCACATCTGTGATAGGGGATGGATGAAAATATAAATGTATTTTTTTTATATATATGTGGACAGCTTGCAAGCCTGATGTGCTGCAGACTTACAGCCTTGCTAACCTTGAGACAAATGATTTGTGAGTACTTATTCAAGGCAAGTTGCCTGTTTCATGGGCTTTGTGGAAGAACACTGTCGTTCTCCATTGGTAGCCCATGGAGAACTGCATGTTTTCAGGTGTGGAACCTTCCAACCTGTTCTGTTACAGGGGATAAAAAAGCTGCAAACTCTTTATTTGTATCCAGAATCAAATGAAACCTAAGTCAGTTCTGCCCTCCTCCAAGGCCAGAAAGTTTTAGGAAAAACTCTCTCTAATGTAAACCTGTTGTTTCTTTGTAGCTGTCAAAGGCAGTTTCAATTTATACTATATATAGAAAATAGAATTTGATTTCTTGGGAGAACAAGAATTATTTTCATTTTAGCTCTGTTATCACCTTCTGACTTGAAGGGGCTTTATTAAGACAGTGTATTCTTGGGACTGATACAAATCCGTAGATTAAGAACGAGAGAGATACTGGAAATGGCAAATCATTCCTTACAATGCTTAGAGTAAAAATGTGGTGGGAGTGTTGTGTATGGATTAGAGGCCGTTTCCATTTTATGGTTACTTCTGTTTTGTTCATGGAATAATTGTTTAAATCTCTAATGTGATCTTGTTCTTTGTATTCTCACTAGGACATGACAGATAACGGCAACCATCAGTTGGTGGTGAGAGCAAAATTTAATTTTCAACAGACAAATGAAGATGAACTTTCTTTTTCAAAAGGCGATATTATTCACGTTACAAGAGTGGAAGAAGGAGGCTGGTGGGAAGGAACTCTAAATGGCAAAACAGGGTGGTTTCCAAGTAACTACGTACGAGAAATAAAATCAAATGGTAAGTTCTGAAGGAGTGTGTATTTGCTGCACATATTCTTGCTTTGGGTAGAGGTTGATAGTTGGTTGATTCATTAAAAATTATAATGCTTTCTGTTTAAGCTTGACTGTATTTACTGTATTATTCATTCACAGCAACCATTAATACTCAGGAACTCATACTCCCCCACCTCAGTTTGCTACATAGAGTGCTCTAGAGGTTTTGAGTTAACAATACACATGCAGAAAACTCTCCCATTCTGTTTGCTTGTCTGTCTCTGTCACAGTTGGGCTGCTCTGACTTCCTCAGTCTGAATTCCTGTAATGCTGGATTTTGGCTCTGATGCTGGCATGCTTTCAATTGGAGCTTTGGGTTTAAATAGCGAGAGATGTCCTGCAAACATCTATATAAACAAAACCTAAGCCAACATCCCCCCCCCCCCAAAAAAAAAAAAAAAAATAGCCTACACAAAATAATCTCTAAACATAACCCATTACTTAGAAGTAAACCACTGCAGGACAAATTCCCTATCAGAAGTCAGAAGAGATCCATCAAAAGAGATCTATCAAAAACTACTAAAAGTTAGAGAAATTTTTTGGAAGATAACTTATTAGTTACTTCATTGTTTATGTGCCTTCAGCTTTTCTTTATACAGGCTTCACTCTTTCACTGAAGTTTTATTTTTAACTCCAGGCGCACTTACAGTGCCTTCTGTAAGTGTCAGCTTTGTGACTGAGTATCGGAGCTAACATTGCTTTTTAATCCACTAGGACCTTGGCCCCTGCCTTGTGTCTCTCCTGTCTCGCCTTCCTTTTGGAGATAGGGATAAACCTTGTAGGATAAAATTACCCAGGGGCTCTGAAAGGCTTTACCACTCTTCTCCTTCTCACAGCTCCAATGAAAACACGCATCTTCTGGGCCGTGCTAAAATCATTGGCATGACCTTTTTTTTTTTTTTTTTTTTTTTTTGTTTTTTTGTTTTTTTTTTTTTAGGCAGCCATACAGATGTGTGATTGAAAAGTTAAATTTTGAGGGTAAAACTACCTTTTTTTTTTTTTTTCTTTAAATTTTTTTTTTAAACGTATTCTTCTCCAGTTGCATCCTTTTATTTTCTTCCTTGATTTGCTATCTACAGACTCATTTTGCAGAATGCTAGTCTTAGATCTGTAACTTAATTGTCATTTGCAATTAGCTCCGTTTAGGCACAGTCACAATGTAAGACATAGCTTTAATGATTTTCAGAGGTCTCCCAGATGTGGCTTACCCTGGAAACCAGTTCCTGAAGCCTGTATTTTCTTGTCTATAGTGTTGCAACAATCTCTTTCAGCCATGATAACTCTCTTGTCCCATTGTTATTTATGTAAAATGTTACTGCAAAGTCTTGTTTGGAATTCATCACTTGGATCTCTTCTGACTCCTGAGACTGGAACCTGGGTCAGCTCCGAAATGGAAGTAGCTTTTAACAGTGAAAATGGAACAACAAGTAGTTCCCAGCAACTGAAATGAAAGTTGTTCTTGTTTTTAAAATAGTACTTCACCCAAGTGAAGTACCTCTCCTAAACAGGAAGGACAGCAAGCTGTGGGACCGAGTTTAGTACCAAGTACCATTAGATTCTTGCCAGTCCTTGCAACCCTGTCCTGTTCCTGGGGGCTGAGATGGACTGCCTCTGGCCCCTGGTTTAACTTTCACTTCTCACCATCAGAAAAGTTTTCTGCTAAGCTGTTCCTTCCCCTCTGCTGTATAGTCATGTTCCCTGTGCTATATGGGCTTTGCCCCTTTCTGCAAGACTTCTTGCATTCTTGGAGTGCGCTCTCATATATGCTCAGTTGCTTCCGTGGAAGGTAGTATGTGCCCGTACTTTTCTCTTTCTCAGGAAGTTGAGTTCATTGCTTTGTTTTCTGTGCATTTACTGACCATTGCAAAGTTAAAATGACTACCTGTAGCTCTCCAGCTTTCTCTGTTCTCCTCCTTTTGAAAGACAATTACTGTGTTTGGCCTTTTCCAGTACTTTTTGGAAATTTGCTTGTTCTCTTGTGGTTTCAAACATGGATGTAGCTAGTTCTCTTGCTGCCAAATCAGCACAGCAGGTACTGTTTAGTTTATAAAAATACTAGTTTTAACCAGCTTTTTATGCCTGTGTAGGTATGTGTTTGAATAATCTGAAGTTGACCTTTTTCCAATAAGATTGGGGGATGTGAGAAAGAGACAAGACCTACTAAGAGCTTCTTGATGTTCGTTATTAAGTCCTCTATTGAATTGCAGACCAGCTTTCCCCCTTGATGTATGTATGTTATGGAATGTTTTGTTTCTACAACCCTTATGCCCATTTCAGTGGTATTTCAGTTGGTGATGTGACTTTTTTTAGTTACTTTCTTCTTTTTATGTGTTTGAAGTCACTGTAGTATTTGTGATACTTGATCATGTCAATTTGCATCTACTTTTCCTGTTCTTCCTTTGAGGTGAGCCTAATTCTTAAGGACTTTTCCTGTGAGCTTTTTTCCCCTACATTGTTGGAAGTGGGAATCCTTTTTTTGCCCATATTTATAAGTTTACTGAATTCTTTTTAAGTTCATTGTTCTCATTTTGGTGCTCTTTCTCTCTCTTTTTTTTTTTTTTTTTTGGTTGATTCTATGGAATTTGTTATGGACATTTCTATTCTCAAATGACTTCTGCTTTGTGGGTATTGTTGAAGGTGCTAGAGAGAGATTTTCTGTAATTCTCCTTTCTTCTCTATCAAAGCGCATTGCTTCTGCATCCTGAGGTTGGACTTCCTTTGTTCTGCTGTCCTTGTTGAAACCAGTACGTAGTGCTGTTTACCACAAAGCTCTGAAGTTACTTAAGTGGCTGTGGTGGGCACACCAGTTTCATCCAGGTTATATGTATGGTTTGACCGTCTTTGTTACACTCCTGTGCCCCTGCTCTTTTTTGTTTGTCTTCATTAAACTGGTTGACACTCCTTGAATTAGTAAGTCTTTCACTGTCCGTTTTTCCTGACTTCCTGGCAGCTATATGTACCTGACCAAGATTTTCCATATTCAGAAATAAAAGTACCTTTGTGTTTTAAGCATGAGGTTGAAACACAGAAGTACCTTTTTTTCCTGATGTATTTTAAAACAAGTAGGTAAAGCTTGCTGTCTTGCAAGCTTAAATTCAAAATGTGCTTTCTGCCACTGTTATAATGAATTGATGTAAAACTATCAGGATAGGATTGTTGAAATACTTGCTCTTGAATAAGGTTTCTTTATGAACAAAATGTTCATCCTGGACATTTAATCAGTTAGCAAAATACTCTGTAAAATCACAGAACCATAGAATGGTTTGGGTTGGAATGAACCTTAAAGACCATCTAGTTTCAACTCCCCTGCCATGGGCAGGGGACACCTTCTACTAGACCAGGTTGTTCAAAGCCTTGTCCAGTGTGGCCCTGAATGCTCTCGGTCTCTCTGCCTGATGGGGCAGCCACAGCTTCTCTGGGCAACCTGTGCCAGTGCCTCACCACCCTCATCGTAAAGAACTTCTTCCTAATGACTAATCTAAATCTCCCCTCTTGCAGTTTAAAGCCATTTCCCCTTGTCCTGTCACTACACACCCTTTTAAAAAATCCTTCTCCAGATTTCTTGTAGGCCCCTTTAGGTACTGGAAAGCTGCTCTAAGGTCCCCCCGAGTCTTCTCCAGGCTGAAAAATCCCAATTCTCTTAGCCTGTCTTCATAGGAAAGGTGCTCCAGCCCTCGGATCATCTTTGTGTCAGTGTTCTGGTGTTGATGGTATGACTTCACCTTTCTTTCTTCTCTCAAATGTGGCTGAAAATACTGCAACTAGTTACAAATTCTGTACAGGCAACACTTATATTTTTTGATGATGACTTATTTGGAGAGCTCCTGGGAAATAGTGTGTTTGATTAACTAAATCCTTTCAGTCTGCTGTAATCTGACTTTGGCAACCTGTGTAAGAGAAGGAAGTTCTTTCTGCATGCGTGTTCTTGTTTTAATCCTCACAAAATTCATAGGCATTAGATATTTAAATGAAAGGATTTTTATTTCAATTAAAATCCTCTAATGTCAGGTAACTGTATATTTGTAGTCTTAGCTTGTATCATTGCTCTGAAGTTAGAAATTCAAGGAAAGGAAGAAAGACATGCTTATTAACAGGAACCAGCTTTACCCACATTGTTTTTCTTCTAAAATCTTTAAAAAAGCAAACTATATTAAATATATTGCACAAGCAGAGCATGTTACATGGTAACGTATCTAGATCAGAGTAGCTAAAACATCTCAAAGCTGTGCCCATGTAACTCGTTTGCTTAGCTATGCCAGCATGATTAGTGTTAGCATAGAATGCTTACACATGTATGACACAAGCTGGGAATGGTTGTAGGACAGATACAAGAGTATTGAGCAAAGCACAGCATTCAGTTTTCTTAGGGTGGCCAATGACTGTATTTTTTGGAAATAAATTAGGTTGAGATGGAAAATAGTTTTTAATTTGCTTTTGAGCATGTGCTTATTCTTTCTTCTCATACTCCCCTATCCAAGGGGAAAAGGAAGATTTGTTTGAAATTGTGGTCCAGTTATCAAACTTAGAAATAGAAGGAAAAAAATGAAGTAGTAGTTTCTTTTCAGGTATGTGACCACACTGAAAGGATCAAACAGATGGGCATTTCTCTCTCCCTCCCTGCCTGTGTGCATGTTTTCATTTCCCTTTTTAAACCCTGTAACATCTTGCCTTCTTTTTTTAAATGTTCTTTGATCAGTAGACAGGAAGTATTTTGAAATGAGAAGACTTTTATTTCCATCCTGCCATACTGTTACAGAGGCTTAAAGATTGATACTGTGTAAACTTGTTAGATATTTGACAGTGTGGCCTTTCTGAGTTGTTTGTTTGTTTTTCCTTACATAAAATAGATCAGGAAGGGGTGAAGGTGCAGGTGGAATCTTGTCTCTTAAACTGCTGCTTCTGCCTTGCATGGTAGAGAGATTTGGAGACTTATTTCTGAGCGTTCCCTGGTGACGGAAGGAATAGCGGTTACCCCACATGGGATGCTCTTGCTTAGCTACTGTCAGATGTTAATCAGATTTTAAGAAAATCACGTGGTCACTTATCAAAGTGTAATCCATTCTAATGGCATAAGATTACTGAGAAGGGACTGTGGCTTTGCAAAATTACATTTGATATGTCGCAAAGTTTATTTTCATTCTCCACAGGAACTAATGTGTCATTCTAGCCTCTCTTCTGTTATGCTTTCTTGACAATTATATTAGTATCAGGCCCAGTGCAAATTACAGTGTTAATGGTTCTTCTGGTTGGATGTTTAAAAAAAGCCAAACCAAACCCTTCTAGCTTTGGGGGAGTTGGGGGGGTGGGGAAAGGAAGAAAAGGAAAAAACCAAACCCAAAAAAACCTACCAAGAATGTTAGTTTTCCCCTCCTCAACTATGTACACTTGAAGGGGTATTTTGTTCTCTTGTTAGGTGTTAATCTACAAGCATAAATAGAATAGAGGCTGGGACCAGTGGATCCTACTAGGGAAGAAGCGTTACAGTGTCTACATTGCCGAGTGGAGCATGTTGCAGCGATGCTTGAGCAAGCTGGAGAACTGGGAACAAGTTTATACTTGCCCTCCTGGTGCTGGACTTGAACTGATTGGTCTAGAGCAACAGGGCTTGCTTGTAGCACTGCACTCATAGGGACCATGTAGCTTTTGATGTCCCAGCTGGCATCTCTTTCATTTGTACTGTAGGGTGAAATAGCCCAAATTGGATCTTTGCATCTAGATTACACAGCATAGCCTAGGAATTGCTGAAACACACAATGTCCTTGCACTAGTAGGGTCGAAATGCTTTAGTAAAGTACATCCTGAAGGAGTGCTTTGTGGAATAGCGTGACATAGACTGTTGCATGAAAACAAATATGACAAGAACAGGAGACGTGACAGAAGAGAGATAGGAGAGAATGTGAGAGTGCCAAGTAATTTGAAGGCAAGTAAAAGAAATATTTCCACGTAAATGAAAATAGAATCAAACAAAACGTTAGGAAGATTGGGTAAACTGTCGTTTTACAGTCACTTAGGTAGGTATGTGTAAAGGAGAAGATTACTTCATTCTAGAGAGTTTGTGGCATCTTATGTACTACTTAAGGAAAGGTTACAGAAGCACCTGCTCTAAGCTGTTTTGGCTCTACTAAGAGTAGTTATTTTCTGGAAGAATAATGTTAAGAAGCCTGTGCCAGCCTCACTCTCCCCACCCATAGATGATCTGTTAACTGAATTCTATCTGGTTTATCACTAAGACACTTCAAAGCATTATCAAGGGTAGCTGAGTGCAGTTGAATGTAATGCTTTCATCAGGGAAGAAATTGATAGTGGTAACATACCTCTTGGTTTCAGTCATCACCTGGATATGGTCTCTTCTATTACTTAAGTTGATGCTTGTTGGTTTTAGATTTGATCATATGCTGTGCATGTTTTCATTGTGTTTTCAATGTTAATGTAACGAATTCACAGTGTGACCAGCGTAAAAATTAAGGAGAAGCAAAGAATCTTCTGTGTGGGAAAACTTGGTGTCTAGCTTAGGTCATTCTCTTCCAGTGCTTTGAGAAACAGAGCTCATATGTTGGAGTGGGCGAAGTGCCAGGGTTTTGCTAATGTTTTGGAAACCTATGGACTTCATGGACTTAGAGACCTCTGAGACCTGCAGATGTTGCCGGTATGCCAAATGAGGGCAGCACCCACTTGAAATACTCAATGAATTATGCTGTGTATTTGCAAAAGTACTCTAATGTTCTATCACGAAGGTTGATAAGTAGCACTTACCTTTGTTTATGCTAAGAAAGATGATTTCTTATGTGCAAGCTCAGGGTTTTCTTCTGTGTAATGCATTGTGCAATAAGCTAATTATGACAAGGCTGTTTCTTGTTCTTCCTTATGAAGCAAGGCAGTGCTTGGAGGCAGAATATCAGACATGATAGACAGCTGGACTGATTTGCTATGTCTAATTCTGTGTTTCTACAGTAGAAATGGCCTGTGCATTTTGAAAGCTGAATGTTGATTATGGCTGTTCAGGCAAAATGATTTGAACGTGTGATGCTTTTTTGTGTCCTGTTTTTAAATCTGAATTTGATTGTGTCTCTTTGATGGATAAGTGAATCAGCTGAACAGCTGGTAATACAAATGACTACATATTTCAGCAAAAAAATCTCCTTGTTTCTTCAGCTGCTTAGGAGAAGAAAAGTTAGGGAGGAGATTGATTTTTGCACCCTTTAACATAATAATTAGCTGGAAGAGCCAGATTCTACGATCAGGCAACTTTTCCCAGGTTAACAAGGGTCAGACATCTGTACTCTGATAGAAGGAAAAAAAAAGTTTCTACTTTTTTCCTTGAATAACTCTGGTTTCTCCTTTCATGCTTTTTGGCACATGGTTAGTAAACCTTTAGGTATTTAGTGAACCTGAAAGTCGCTATAAATTGTAGATTAAGTTAAGGGCTTCTACAGAGAATGAAAGCAAATCACCAGGTTTGTGTAAACTACATTATTTTCATCATTCAGTACAAAGAAACAAATTGTAGTTGTCCCTTAAATGGGTAGCATTTTATATGAGTATACAAATGAGTAGCTATACATACAGCATGTCTTTAGGTGCTTCTTTCCCACTGAATGTTGGATGACAGATCTGCTTGGGTTTACGGTTTTGTTCTAAGGGGATAGGAGGAGCCCTGTCACTTGGAATTACTTGCCTGTATATCAGAGCATGTAAGTACTGCAGGGCTGGTGGCTGAGAGCATCAGTGTTCCCAGATGAATAACTGCTGGGGCTAATGGTTTTTGTGCTGTCTGTCAGCTTATAGCTGACTTGGGGGAGGTGGGTGGGGAATATTAACCGAAAGGATTTACTGTCATCTCTGAACATGGTAAGGAGAAATGGTTTTGCCCATGTTTGGCAGTTTTAAGACCATATTTTATTTTTAGAATAGCTTCTTTGAGGGGAGTTCCAGTGCAATACAGAGGAAAATCCCCTTAAGGATAATACCACTCTGGTGCTCTTGGGGCCTGAGCTGCTCCTTACGCACTGCTGGCTAAAGCCTCACGTCCCGCTGGCCTGCTGGGTGCTCCTGCAGAAGTGTGGCCTGCATCTGTAGTCAGCTCCCCAGAGATGGCAGCATCCATGGGATGCAGCTGTGCAGCATTAAGAAGCACTAATTTACCCAGGATACAGTCCAGCAGAGACTGGTACCACATGGGCTGTTCTGCTTAGGGTGATGTTTCCCTGGGGACCTTTACTGTCCATGGGAATTTCCCTGAGGTGGCCCTTAGCTTGGCTGACTGAGCTTCTCCTGGAAAGGCAGGTCTGTGTTTGAGACTTGAATAATTTATTCTTAGTGGCCTTGAGGTATCAGGTAAGCTAGAGTTAAATTATTCATGTATCTTTATTAAAATGTGTTTGAAACAGGAGCTTGCTTTTAAAATAGAGGTAAACCTTTCAGTATGTACGTTTTTAAGATGCCTTTTTTTGTTGTTGTTGATTTTGACTATTTGTCTTTTTATTGTTTGGATACGAATTTGTATTTAATTTTCAAGTACTTATTTGAAATTTGCACATTAGACAAGCCTGCTTATTTAAAAAAGAAAAAAGCATGCCCCCCAAACCTCCAACAAAACCCCACAAAAGAACCCCAATCCGAAACACCATGGTGTCCTGATAAATGTCTCACAGCATTCTCACTTGGTTGTGTGTAAAGTCAAGTGTGAGAGGTCAAAAAAAGGTGCTGTAAATCTTACTTGCTGTTTTTCCAGCATGCAGCATGATGCTTTTGATTTGTCTCTCCCCTCATCTTTGCTCCCCTGTGGTTGACTCAAACGAATGGTAGGGGTGAGAGGTTTTATGGGTGTGTTTTCCGTGCCTTTCCATTCTGGCAGTGAGCACTCATAACTTTCAGGACTGTTGTTTTGATATTGCAGGCTTA